AGCTGCAGGTGGTGTGGGCGCAGCTGCAGGTGGTGGGTCCCGTGCTGCAGCTCGGTCCTGCACAACCACACTGGGTGAATGTGGTACACGAAGGCACGACACAGCAGGTCTCTGAGCATCGCATTCCGGCGGTGTAGTATCCAAAGATTGCTTAATGCTCATTATTTTAGATCAAACTGGGAATTTTGTTTAAATTTGATACTTATTAAAATACTGATGTGATAGCTGGCCACTGGCTACACTTTCGACAAGGAAGTGAGATAGTACCTCAACTTACAGTAACTCAAGTCAAGGAAAGCATTAATATCTTAACAGGAACACCAGACTGCCACAGCAAATGTTACGCAAGAATAGGAGGAGAGCCTATTCGGTTGTCCGAGTGTGATCAAGGAGGAAGTTAATTTGCTAGGTAAAACGTTGCAGAACACCGTATCGCCTACCTCGGTGAGCGCGGCCCTCGCCGCCAGCAGGAGGCACAGGGCCTTGGTGAGGGGCTCCTCGGAGGTCCGCAGGGTCCCCGTCAGCTCGCGGCCGCCGCCCCGGAGCGTCACGTCCCAGGATTCGCCGGTCAGCAGGGTGAGGGCGGGCAGGACCTGCTTCTCCCTACACTGGTCCTGGAGGCCCTGGAGCTGCTCAGCGGCCTGCGGCAGCGCGCCCTGCAGCTGGCGCCTCAGGGCACTTCTGACGGACAGGACGTCGTGGTCCTCCCAGCAGCGGGGCGACGGGGCGGTGCGGCAGTCCGAGCACCAGCAGCGGGGAGTGCTGCGGGGCACAAGTCAAGCCATAAAGTTCTCGAACACCCCGCCTCTGCGGCCGGCTGCGCGCGAGAGACTTACCTGTCCAGCCTGACTCTCTCCAACGACTTCAGCACCAAGAAGTTAGTGATGAGTTCCGCCGGCGGGCCGTAAAAGTCCTGTAGGGAGAACGTGTCAGAACGAGTGTAACAACGAACGAGTGATCCGGGACTTTACTTCACGCCACTCACCCGGCGGCACGTCGGGCAGCTGCTGCCGGGCAACCGGCGCAGGCACTGCAGGCACGCCGTGTGCCCGCACGGCAGGACCTTCGGCAGCCGCTCGGCGCCGTCGAAGCGCTCGGAGCAGATGTCGCACTCCACGTCCATGCTCCTGATCGCCGAGCTGCTGGTGAGGTAGTAGGCCGGTCGGGGTGCGCCGCGAGGGAACGGGTCGCGATCCGATACTTTGGTTCCTGACCAACATTCCAAGCAAAAACAAGACATTGCACACTTCAGCTCGGGGCTGTCCACAAGCGGCACGCACTGATCGATCGGTCTGCGATCGGGCGGCGGTTGGTCGTTCGGTGCCAGTACGGTGAAGAGAGATCTCTCTACACCGTGGGTGCCAGTGTGAGGTGTTCAAATAAAGGCTACCTCTCTCGCACCGGGCGTCCAATCGCAGACCGATGGCAGACCGGTCGATTGGCGCTCGAATTCGGACGAAGCCTTGTTAACTACGTCAGAAGACAAAGCTTTACTCACTTGTTGGTCGGGCGAGGCCTCGGTAAGGCGTCGTCCTAACGGTTAGGAGGTTAGGACCTAACCTCTCCGTCCTCGTGCGGCTCGCTAGCGTTTACGAGTCGGCTCACCCAGCGCCGAACACAGCCAGGGCGGGATGGTTGACTACGGAGACGTTTAGTATCGTGTTCGGGGAAGAAGCATCCACCGGCAGGCGTCTTGTGGCAAAAGGGCACGGAGTTCACTCGATCTGCGCTGGGCTGGGCGTCGCATCTGCCGAGCTGACCACGCCGGACCACGCTGATCTGACGGCGCAGAGTGTTGACTGTGCGGGCACGGACAGGTCAAAGTGGAAGGGGGTGGGGGGAGCACTCGTGGGAATGTGGTGTCTACTTCGGAACGACACTTCGGGAGGCGAGCACGGAGCGTCGTGTTGTGTTCACGGCGCTCTACACCATAGCCTTTATGCTTTCTGAAATGTCACACATAAAGGTGGATACAGAGTTCCCAAAACGCGAGCGTAATTTTCACGCTAGGCGTGATTTTCACGCCAGGCGTGATGAAAGTCGGTTCCTGATTGGCTGTGTGAAGCTTACGAAGCGTGAAAAATCACGCCTTGCGTCGGTGAAAATCATGCTTGCGTTTCGTGAACTCTGTATCCACACTAAACAGCTAACTAAATATTTATGTACTTATCGACGGGGTATCCGGTCCTCCGGTCGCCTCCGGTAATAGTTAAGGAACAATGTATTACCGATTTGTTGATGGTTGCATTGAAGTTCGGATGACCAACGTATTCTGGTAAGGGGTCGTCCACATGATACCTCACGCGCTTGGGGGAGGGAAGGGGGGCTAACATGATGTTCTGTGATATTGGGAGGGGATGATTGAACGGCATTATGTAACATTTTTTTGAGTAAAAAATGAGTTTTAAGCAGATCAATCCTGATACATTTGCCGCTCTCCAGATGTTCTCCTCGTAGTGCATCAAAGTTCAGAAAGAAGTTCTGTCGGGGCCGTAGCAATTTATACGTGGGGTGAATAACTCCCCTGCTAAATGTACACCCCTAATACTGCCCATTCAAACCAAATTCAATTTAATTCGGTGCAGAGTCCAAAGGTTCTGGTGCAGAGTCTAAAGGTTTCGGTGTGACACCGAAACTGATTAGGTGTACTGGTAAAAGGAACAATCCAAACTCAGTTTTGTTGTCTGGCCGGAACTTTTCTCTCCGTGAATGACAGCTAAATTTGAGAGAAAATTAGAACACAGACCACAGACCTATTCTTAAATTTGAATCATCTGCTTTCAGGATCGATTCCTGATTGTGATTTTTTTTTTTTACGATTTAATAGACCATTTGGTCATTTTCACCTTCTTTTCGTCAAGAAATGACCCTTACGGTACGAGATAGAGCAAAACCCCAGAGAGTTCTACTTGTACGAGTCACCCCTCAAGAACCCATAATAAAATATTTGACAAAAATACATTTTGCGACCTGTGGTTTTTGATTTTTTTTTAAGTCAATTTTTAAGCTAGAACGCTCATCTTCGAACTCGATCTGTCTTTTTATGATTCAAAACTACCCTGAAATTCCCAGATCGCTATCTCAATTATTCCTTCTCGAGTTATCGTGCGGACAGACAGACAAACACACAAACAAACAGAATGCAACTTTTCCGGTCAGTGGAGTAATGGGCTTCGCTAATCGCTCAGCCAATAATGGATCCAAAACGGGGACCTCCACAGGTACCCTAGTGTCCCCACCGTATCTCTCTACACCGTAGTGCTGTGCGACGCGGCTGGAGGCACCAGGCGAGGTCCCTGTGGCACCTCAGATCGACCAGCCGGGTCACCTGCGGTTGTTTCAAAAGCACCGAATGTTCGATTCTCTTGGCGCTTGTTGTGGAATAGTTTCGTTTTGTGTCAAAAATGAAAACTGTGAATTCGGGAATTTCTTCGTCTGCATTTTAGCTTTACCGGAATGCTTTATTGGCGCGAGTGCGCGAGTGGCGCGACGCCCGGCTGGCGGGCGCCGGGCAGGCTGTCCGTCCCGCTCGACAGCGCTGCTGCGCGGGTCGGCCTTCCCATCCGGCGCTCGCCGCCGCCCGCTTTGTAAGTACGCTTAGCTCGCTTCTTTGGCTTCGTGGTGTTGCACCCGGAAAGCACACGGAAGTCTCCAGCATTCGGAGGACGATATCTCGATTCGTCACGCTTCGGCACGAAATACAAATAAAACAGTTGGTAATAATAATATTGTCAAGTTTCACTTTATTTTAAATGCCGTACTAGTTGGTTAAATTAAATGTCTTTATCGAATGACGCGAGTCCTCTCGCTGCCACAGGGTGGCGGGGCACAGCCGCTGCTCGCCGCCCCTTAGACCTTTCCCCTCCTCACTCGGTCACACTTAGTGCAAAGCACTAAGGCCCCGGGCAGCACCCGCCGCACCTCGGCGAGCTGCTCGCTGCAGGCGGCTGCCTTGTGGCTGTATCCGAAGAACCTCTGCATCACGATCCTCCTGAGCGCCCGCAGCCCGCTCTGCTGCAGCAGCGAGTGCAGGTCGTCGCAGCTCAATGGCCACTCCTTCTTTCCCGCCGTGCCCACCACCAGCTCCAGCTCCTCCAGCGTGCCACCGTGCGCCCGCAGCAGGGACTGTGTCGTGGCGCGGGGGATGTTGTACACCCTGAGCCACTGCAGGCCGGCGTGTCCCGGCGGCAGCGCGGGCAGCACGGGGGGCCGGGCGTCCAGGGCAGCGTCATTACCATCCACGTCTAGCCTCCTCAGCCGCGGCATGGCGTGCGCCGCGCGCAGGTGGGCCTCGCGGAGGCAGCTCACACTCAGCCGCTCCAGCGTTGGGGCGGCGCACTGCAGCAGCTGGAGGCTCCAGGCGGGGTCCATGTGGCACCTCAGATTGACCAGCCGGGTCACCTGCGGCAGAACAGAGTCACTCTCAGGGCGGCCGATAACGTGCGGCACTGTCTGCGGTGTGCCGGGCCGCTCGCTCCCCGCAGCCTCGTGCGGCTGTGCGGCTCGAGGTCCTGCGCACACTCACCCCTGGCGCGTCCCGCAACAGGGCGGTCTTCTCCTGCCGGTCCTCGTAGGGTCCACTAACGCTGATAAAGCGCACGTTCATCTTCCGGCCCCGGGCTGCGAGGGGAGCTGCAGAGGGTGGGGGCACAGCTGCAGGTGGTGTGGGTGCGGCTGCAGGTGGTGCGTCCTGTGCAGCAGATAGGCCCAGCCTGACTCCTTCCAGCAAGTTCAGCGCCAAGAAGTTAGTGACGGGTCCCTCCGGTGGTTTGTTGAAGTCCTGCGGAGAGAATGGGTCAGAACAAGTGTACCGAACGAGTGGTCCAAGAGGATATGTAGTTAGCGGAGGGTCGCCAAGCAGCGTCGGCGAAAAAGGACGGTCGCCGAGGAGGGGGGTCGCTTGAGCTCGCTCCAGTCCGATTTTTCGAGACTTTGCGATTCGTTCGCGTTAGCTATGAAAATACCTAAAACGCGCGAGTTAAAGAAGCGTGAGCATCGTCTAACGCCGACCCTCCTCGCTGACCCTTCCTCCTCGCCGACCGTACTCGGCGACGCTCCTAATCTCTAACTAGATATCCTCCAGGACTTTACCCCAGGTCACTCACCCGGCGGCACGTCGGGCAGTGGGGCAGCCGCCGCAGGCACTGCAGGCAGACCGTGTGCCCGCACGGCAGGACCTTGGGCAGCCGGTCGGCGCCGTCGAAGCGCTCGAAGCAGACGTCGCACTCCAGGTCCATGCTGCCGGTCGCGGAGCTGCATGATACAAATGTAGAATAGTTAAAACCTGTGGCGACATTGCACATATTTGACTCATTTCAGCAATTTCCTGAATGTGCTCCCTCACAGATAACATTCCCTTCTGCCCATGCACTTGCAGGCCTGCTGTTTGTAGCAACTCTTGTGAATAATGTCGCATAGAT